TATTATATATGGTAAATCATTAATATATACTAAAAAGAGCAATGGCCCCAGGATAGAACCCTGAGGGACACCCTGTTTAACCTTTTGCCATTTAGAAACACCACTTTCAGTGTTATTATTCAATATTGTTCTTTGCTGCCTATCAGTCAAATAGTCTTTGAGCAACTTTCCTGCTAAACCATTGATACCATAAAACTCCAGTTTTGCAAGTAGTATTTCATGATTTACACAATCGAAAGCCTTAGTCAAATCGCAAAACAAACCTCCTACAACTAGTTTGTTATTTAATGCTGATAGAATAGTATTTATTAAGTCATGAGTGGCTGTATCCGTGGACAATTTAGTACGAAATCCATGTTGTTCATGCGCCAGGATTTTATTTATGTCGAGATGATGTTGAAGTCTATTATATATAACTTTTTCAAAAATTTTAGAAAAAGATGTCTGATTACCTTGTCATTGAGGGTAACAGAATTCACACTATGGGTACCCCCACATCAGAAGTAAATTCTACCTCCTTGCTGATGTTGTCACATTCCAGAAAGGTTAAACAGACCATACTTGGATGCACTAGAGACCAACTGACATGTTCAAATAGAATGCCTTCATTTGAAGAACATGAACGGAACTAACTTACTATGTAGGAAAAGGAAAATATACAAAATGTTCACATAATTGCTATAATATTTAAATCAATGCCACTTTTCTTGGATTTTCTATGCTCCTGGGTTGTAGCTCATGGTTCTTTATATGTTTACAGCATTGCATATACTAGTTAGTTAGTTATTGGAGAGGGTGGGTTTCCCCATGCACTTAGACCAGTATTGGTCCATTGTGCTTCCCTCTATGATATTCTACCAGTCTCTATACCCTACCGATATTGGTGTACCATCAGTCCCGACCGAGCGAGCGAGTTCGGCCTGCACTAGTTTGGCGGTATCTATAATGCTTCCCCCATCTAGCAGAGGCATTAGAGACTACTGTTGGGCGGGAAACGTCCTTGAATTTGGCTCAGTGACCTCCTTTGGAGATATGAGGTTCTTTTACGTGCTGTAAAGCTACGACACGGGACACACGGCTTAAAGTCCCTCCCGGAGGACTTGTTCCCTGAATTTTTCCGCCCTTAAAAATTCTACGACCTCCACCGGGTTTGAACCTGCGTACCACGGGTCATGAGGTGGGAACGTTACCTCTAGACTACGGAGGCCGCTTTGCATATGCTAAATACAGCTGGATGTGCTATAAAGATGAGTAAGGAATAGCTGCATACTTACGAATTATAATAAATGAATTATGAGGAATCTTATAAAGGAGTTGGTATAAAGACTTCTTCCAATTTAGTGCATTCAAATGACATATATTTTCATAATTGAAGTTTTATTGAACACAAAGATTTTGGTGTAGTAGTAAGTTTTGTCTTTATTTTGAATGGTAATCCAGTTATTGAATACTCTCCTTCAATAGGACCATAATAATCTGCTGATTTTTCTGTTACTGTTTTATGGGGCACGAGTTTATATTTGACATTGTATACAGTTTAAACCATTATCATAAAAAGAAATATTAACACAGTGTCAATCCCATGTAATAATATTGAATGTGTGGAAGGAAGTAACCGCAAAATATAATATAAATAACATGAAATGAAGTTACAAGATGGCACATGAAATTATCCGGTATTTAATCTATTAATGAACCCTTTATTTCAATTACAGTACTAGAACCTAACATATAATAAGAAAGATCATTGCATGGAGATTTATCCTCTGTGCATCAAGTGTTCAATATGACCACCATTATGTCTCAAAAATTCAACATGAACTGTGATGTTGTTGATTACTCAATGGCATATATCATCAGTTATCTCGTTGCATGCCTGAATCCCATTATTGTTTGCGTATTTTTTTTTAACTTTTTCTTTTAAGGAATCCCCAAAGAAAGTAGTCACATGGGGTTTAAAATAGGACTACTCAGGTGCCAGTTCTGTCCACATGCAGAATGATCAGGAAATCGGTTTGAGATGACACGCTAGTCGAAAGTGTTATGCAGAGAGTCCAAAGCAACATTTGCTGTGGGTGGCCTGGCTCCATCCTACATGAACCACTGAGTTTGTAATGGCAAACATGTAGCAAGAACATGAGGCACAGAAGTATTGCACAACATGCATGAATAGTGCTCCCTGTTCACTGTCTCTTAAAAGAAGATTGGCCCTAGCAGTCCATGACTTGAGATGGTAACCCACACACTAAAACTCAATGCATGATGCACCTTTTCATGAATCACATGTGGATTCTCTGATGACAAAAATAGCACATTTTATTTATTAACCACACCATCTAAATGGAAGTTTGCCTCATTGGAAAATCAAACATTGTTGAACAGTACCTCATTATTCTGAGCGCATTCAGAAAATGCCAGTCTTTGATGTTTGTTTTGAACTGTAAGTTTAAGCAACACTATCATTTTGTATGGATACAAATTCAAATCACTTTTCAGTATTCACTGCACCAATCATCTGGAAATCCCTAATTATGCTGCAGCCTTCCTTGCTTATTTACTGAGGCTTCTTTGCAGTGCCACCTAAATTCATATGTACAAGATACCTCAATTTATGATATGTTCTAAATGATTGATCATCTTTTATGTAGTATCTGTTAATCTGTTGCCAGGGCTGAATCAACTTCTTTGGTATTATGCTGCTACTGAAAGAAAGAAATGCTGTGAGATGAACACAACTGCTATGAGTCAAACAGGCAACAGGTTAAATTCATCTTCATCATCTGTCTTATGCTTAACAACAACACACTGGAATAAGAATGACACATGGACAGCTTCCAAAAGTGAATCAATCTGTCAACTTAATAGTACAGCATCAGCCTCTGGTGATGACTGTGAAATTCGAATGAGATTTGCAAAGTAAGGAAGTGATCTACCATAGTTCAATTAATAATGGCATGCTGTAACCCTCAGATTTTTAGTAGAGGAATTCCTCCTCCACATTTCCTGCATATGGCATTATCAGAGAAGCCCATAATATTTAGATGCTGTCTCAGATACAGTGGCCAGTTAACATTCTTGTTGCCGATCTGCATTGAGGGCAGTAGGTCTTTAGACTTTTTCTGGGGACCTTTCCATGAAGAGCTACAATACATGGTGAGACTGGAATCACCGGTTTGGAACCAAAAAATGGATTGGTAGATCCTTTCTTAGCCAAGGTATCAGCATCCTCATTACCCTGAACCCCATTGTGGCCAAAAACCCAAAGGAGTTCAACAGCTTCTATGTTATCATTGTTGCTTTAAGAACTTGCAAAGCTGCCTGGCTATCTAAGCAAATATAAATTTGCTCTCTTGCATAGCTTCTTTCAAACAGAAGGAACTTGTAGCACTAATAAAGGAAACAATATATATATAATACTTTGGTTAAAAAGTCTCAATAAAAGAGCATATATGTGAGACTAAGATACATGTAGGAACATATTTCAGGGAATCAGGTTGTGAGAATTCATATAGTTTAGCTGGCAGTTTAACCCTTCTCGGGAAACCTTCCTGGGATGATATTCAGCCATGAGCAATACATTTTATGTTTCATATTTTAATAGAACTTTCATGTTTTTTTAGGAAAATGATGGACATATGGTGCTCTTCTTCACAGAGAAAGAGAGAGAGTGTGTGTGTGTGTGTGTGTGTTTATATGTGTAGTATTTTAAATACATATATGAATCTGCATTTGTGTAGTAGTGAGTCACGAGAAATGGAATTCTTAACAAGTATTAATTTCTTTCTTTTTCGATTAAAGCTTGTTTGAGGCTATGCAGACATTGTTCTGGACAGTTTTTGGAGTAATAGACATGAACCAGTTCAATCTGTCTAACATCGAGAGCTTCACCAAGTTCTCAGCTAAGACAATCCTAGGCACATACACTGTTATTACCAATGTGGTGCTTCTCAACCTTCTCATTGCTATGCTGAACAATTCCTACCAACTAATTTCCGTGAGTATCAGAAGCTTGTATATTCTGCATACAAATATATGTTTCCTTTACTACAGTGTAAAAACAGTTCTAACCCTCAGGAAAATAGTAAAAAGGTAAAACTATCCCCGTAACAAGCCATGAAGGCCCATAGGGTTGTGAGACATTGAGGCTTCCAAATTTTCTCTCAAGAATCAGCTCATAGATGGCGGTAAAGTTGTCAGTCTTATGCACCAGCACAGATTTCATATGATAGTACTAAAAAATTAAAAGTTATTCTGAAAGAATGAACACGGTTAGGATTCACAGTAAGCGGGAAAATATCACCCACAGGGTGATGATAAGGAAAAAAAAGAATGTTGAAATCATTGTTGATACCTGCACTGCAGTAGAATATGTTAAGATGAGATGATAGCATGAATAATTACATGCAACTATTTACAAATACGAAGTTGTACATATATATTAATATTGTGAAATGACAGCTGAAAGCTGGAATGGTGAAGCCAGAACAGACGTCCATTGCTGAGCAGCAGCTTGGAAATCACATTCCTGCTATGATGAATGGGAACAAATGAGTTGTTGCCAGGTAGATAGTTGCTAAACACAACATTCCCATGACAACAAACACAATAACAGAGGACAATAACTGTTCAGCATGGTGACTTATATTTGGGCAACGTGTCAGTTATAAAAGGGAGTTCATTTGTGCATTCAAGGCAATGAGAGATTCTTCATAGAACATTTGTCACACAGGAGTCATAATTCATTCAGAAGGAGTTCAATGTGTGAGCTGTTATAATTGAATCCAATTCTATTCATCGAATCCAGAACCCATTGTTATTAGTCACCCCAACCCCTAATACGTGACATATGCATCAGGCATGTTCACTAACACTTCCAGATGCATGGTGTTTGGCAGTGAGTTTTGTGAGGAACTAGAATAGCTGGAGTGTGCTATTAGAATTAAGGGAATATTGTACTAAAGAGAAAATGGACGTCACTCTGTTAATAATGTAATAGTTTAGAATCAAATAAAATGGTAACAAGAAGTTAGAATTGTTCTCTTATATCCAGAGCATGCCATGAAAGTATATTGGGAATGCAGAGGTTAAGTCTCCCCAGATTCCTAGACCTCTGTACTAAATGGTGGCTTTGGATGTGGTGGTGAAGAGATAATATCCTTGTCCCTACTAGGAATTGAACTTTGTCCATACATCCTGTAGTCAGTTACTTCACACTCTGCTATGTCAGTTCCATTACTATAGTAGGAATTCTGAAGACTTATAATTCATAACACCAGCAGTCTCCTGACCTGTAGAGACACTTCTTACATTTATTTTGAAGAAATTTATATGTGAGTATTTAGGAAATAAGGGAACAGAAATTATACAAAACTGTCTTTGCTAACAGGGCAGAGAAGACGTAGAATGGAAATTTGCCCGCAGCAAACTGTGGATCAGTTACTTTGATGACAAATGCACCCTCCCTCCACCATTCAATGTTTTGCCAACATCAAAGTTCCTAGTGCGTCTAGGCAAGTTCTTCAAGTGCTGCCCCTGTTATAAGTCACGTTTCTTTTCCGAGTGCTGTTCTTGTGACAGTACACCAGTTGTTACAAGTGAGCCTGAGGAACTTAGGGAGGTAAGTAACTCAGAGAGAGAATGGTTAGAGAATGTGACAAGATAATATTAGAAAGAATTTTAACTTAAAAAATAATTTTATTTTGTTTTATCATAGCACAGATTTAAATTGCAGTAATAGTTTATACATTAAAAAAATATTTTTACTATTTGGAAGTTATACAAGTATTATATAGTAATTATACTAATAATGACTGTCTTCTTATTTTTATGATGCTGAATTATGATTATGACAACAAATATTACCACCTTCCATTTTCTTCTTATTTAAAATCAGATAACTGCAGCATACCATAAACAACAATAAATATAATGCCGTGTAGTCTTCTGGGCTGTGCTTGCCACTTGTTTTCATGCTGGTTTCTTGCTCATCTTATTCTTTGACCCTGATGATGGATGTGATATGTTCCTCTGAAATATCGGTTGACTTTCAACAGACTGTATGGCTTATATCCCAGAAGTCAGTATTAAATGGTTCCTGTTTTCACTACATGTTTCAATAGATCTGTTCATGATCATCTTGGATGGTAAATGAAATATGAGCATGAATAATCCAAGAATATATAAATGTTGAAAATATTAACACAAACATGTGTACGAGTTCATACAGTTCTGTAACATGGCTATATAATTTTAAAATAATCTGTATCATCTGCTTGTTTAACAAAATTACTATTTGTTGTGAAATATTACATTGTTCCTGGATTCTAATTCTACACTAAAATACCTACTGATTCATATAACAGTATCAAGACATTAGTAAATCTATCCATTGACTTAAATAGGTCATATCCTGTACTTTTTCATATGTCTCTTTATCCAATCTCTTGCATCACTGACAATTTCTGATGGCGTTTTAACTTTAAGAACAATTGCAAGACTGGTGTAAAGTATTTGAGGTGTAGATGCAGCAATGGCAGTATAATTTCAAAAAATGAAAGAACAGTAGGATGATTAACTGAGAAAAATCAGGGTGGCATCCTGTTCTAAGTCATGTACTGATCTACTGTCAACAAGCAGATGCTATTAACTTCAAACAAGAAACAGTAGTTTACCTGCAATGCTTATATTTCATAATTTTCAGTCATATTCTTACACAATTTCATATTTAAAGAATCTCACAGTATGAAAATATCCATTATTTACTTGAGCCTATTTATGTTTTATGTCATAATATACTGTGTTTCATAAAACTGGTATAAAACTCATTTTGTTTTACTTTTTATCTGATATGACCTCGTGTCTTTAACATGCCAACAGCTGAGCATTTATTCTTACTTTACACACTCTTTTTATTTCCAGGAATTGTTGAAAGAACAAGAGTCCAATTATGAGGTGAGCATATTTCATTATAACGTATATTTTACAGCATTCTCCCAAATTCGGTCACCACATAAAACAATAAACATGCTATCTACAACATAAATGTCCTCTCTTTTAGGATGTACAGCTTGTAAAATGTGGAAATGCACTGTCCACATTTCTGTACCTGACCATTCTCAGCAGAATGTACTGTGGATTTGGTCAAGTTCACTAAGTGTGACAGACTATGGGGTTTCTATGGATTATAATAGGGCCTTAATTACAATACATCACCCTCTTTACCTCCCACAATGCAGCTACAGCCACTGTCTTTCTTCTTCTTGCCATACTTCTCTCCATGCATAACCCAGAAACCAAGTATAAAACCAACTTGTCGAAGACCTGGGTTATTCTTTTACATTCACTAATTCTGTCATTAAACCTGCTCTCGCCCTGAAGTCAAACATCCATTATCATACAGTGCAACACTCAACTTTGATCCATAAGAAATAATCTTCTTCTTTTCATGCATTGCTGGACTTCATTCACTGGATTGAGAAATTCCATTTTGTTGCACTTCATAGTTTTGCCTTGAAACTGCATTATTTTGGGAAAATGGTGAGAAAATAATATGCAGTAGAAGGGTTAAGTACCTCACAATATTAAAGGATTTTGTAAAGAATAATCCTCATTTTATGAGAAAGATGCCTCTGAAATTTGTTGAACCTAAGACACTCGCACTCCTCGAAATTAATAGTTTGTGTGTACATTGGAATTCCCACATATCATTTATCAGTTTCACATATTTAATTTACACAGTATTAACCCATTATCTCATAAAGTTTCTCATTTTAATGTTTAANGGTGACTATGAAGAAAGCAGTCTTCTGGGATTTGGCACCGTGTATATGTGGTGTTAACCGACGTTTCGGAGGAACGTATCGCCTCCATCTTCAGGGTAGAAGAAAAAATATAAGAAATCTGCAAAGCAAGACAGTCTGCTTTTACCAGTTCTCATGGTCTTTTCGCTTTGCAGATTTCTTATATTTTTTCTTCTACCCTGAAGATGGAGGCGATACGTTCCTCCGAAACGTCGGTTAACACCACATATACACGGTGCCAAATCCCAGAAGACTGCTTTCTTCATAGTCACCGCCGTGAAAGCCTCAAATCTTACAGAGTAGTAGTATGTTACACAGGTGTATGGCAATTTGCAATGAACAGGGTATTTACTGCACATGGCATAAACAAGAAATGGACAATAAATGATGGCTGATATCAACAAAAGATAAAGTTCTGACAGGCTAATATAACTGAACTTCTAAAAGTATATGGGATTTATATTGCCTTGGTTGAGCTTTAAGGTAATGGTTCCAAATATCTGCATTGTTAGTTAATGAAAGTGAGAACTAGTTCCAGCAATTTAATCATTAAATTTACTCCTAAGAATTGTTTTTAGGTTTCTTCTGAACATGTCACTGCAGAAGCATGTCAGCCATATGCATTTTATGACTGTAAACTGACCACTCACTTCCAACTTGTGCAGAAGTTCCCATTTAAGTTTTAGCTTCCACCCCTCTACACCTTCAAGGTGGAGTGCTTGGGCATAAGGAGAGTTTTACTTTTATTAGGTACATTAATTTTTGTATATTACTTTATTTCTCTTGTCATTCTGATATTCAGCTTTATGCATATTTAATGAAACTGATTTCACAATGCCTGTCAAGAGCTAAAATACATAAGAGTTGATGAATGGGAAGGTAATATGTGGAAACTGTTACATTCTCTTATTGAATTCTCAACAGAGTATGGGTAATATTAATAACAGAATTGTCAGTACTGTTTCTAATTCGCTAGAAAGTGATGCATCGCTTGGTTGGACGTTACATCATGATGTCCCAACAAAGTGCAGAGCACAATGCCGTCAGCGAAGATGACATAAATGAATTAAAACAGGACATTTCGGCCTTCCGATGTGAACTGATTGACATCTTACAGCAGTCTGGCTACACTGTAAATGCATACTGTAATGCAGGTATGAAATATCAATTTGTGGTTTAAGTTACTTACATATGACATACTCTGAAGTCTTGAGGTATATTTTCTTTCCAAAAAAAATGCTAGAATCAATTTTTTAATACACGTTAATAAAGCTGATATTGTGCAGGAAGGCAGATAACAAAATTCTAAAATGGTCTTCCACCAGAAACTACAGGTTATACCAGTTTACTTGGATGGATTGAGAACCACCAAATTCTTACAGTAACACGCCTCCTATGCCAAGAATAAACCGTAGGATCTATAAAATATAAAGGAGTGTTAAATGCATTTTTAATTCATTATAATGGATGATTGACCTGCCCACAACTCAGCTCAAGTTTGAGAAGTTAAGAAACTACGGGAACCTATTAAATTAAGGCTTTCAGTTCTTAGAAATCATTGCTAGATCTTCCTCATTAAAACTGCAGCACTTTAGCTGGCAGCACCCCTTCTGGTAGTAATTGATGTAATTATTTGTGTTGTTTTCATGCAGGTCTAGGAGGCCGTAAGACGAGGCAAAGAGAGCGCCGTATGATGAAAAATTTTGATGTTATCCCCACTCGTGAAGATCTTCCTCACCTGCAGCATGAAATCGTATCTTCCACTGCCCCTGTACTGACAGCTGCAAGCAAACCTGCAACCACCATGGGCTCTTCTGCTTTAGTAGCACTTAAAAAGAAACGCAAGAAATTCTTTGCTGCATCACCAAAGGACAGAGGTTCCTCAAACAAGCAGATACTACACGCAGGTAGCACTCCACAACGATCTTCTTCAGTTATGCAGCAAAAAGCACAACCTTTACAAGTCCAGTCACAAAAGCAGGCAGAAATTGTGGAAGGAATCATGTCACCATCCACAACCAGTGAAAGTGTTACAACTCACTCCAGTGATACATTTGAAGCCAGTGTGGAATCTCAGGAGGAACTGGTATCACCCACTGTCAAGGAAGGTCTCTAGAATCTGTATGATACTGAACTAGGCACAAGTTTTCATTTCTGGTAAGCTAACAGTATGGAAAATATGTCTCACATTAAATGGATTATAATATTGCTTGTAGTATGTAATATCGTATACGATATTACATACATACTCGTATGTAGTACATATACGATATTTGAATATGAACAACCATGGAAAACAAACAAGCAAAATAACTGATTCTCAACAATGAATATCTCCACAAGTACAAGGGGATAAACTAATCATTTCCCCATATCCCACATCTCACACCCTTCCTATCAGCTTGTCCAGTAACAGAAAATTTTAATTTTTCAGTTTCATAACTTCTTATGACTTTGTCATGTGTACAGAATATTTTATATCATCTTGTACTATGTTTTCACTTTCCCATCTCTCTGATTTACATAACTCTGCCCACCTCCCTTCTTACATATTATCAACACCTATGTATAATGGTATGTCTGATCATGAAGTAGAGTAAAAGTAAAGCTATCCCTGTAACATGCCATGAAGGCCCATAGGGTTGTGAGACATTAAGGTTCCCACACTATGTAGACAATCGGCTCAGAGATGGCGGTAAGGTTGTCAGCCATACGCGCCGGCCGCGCTCTACTCCCCAGGAAAATTATTTATTTAATTCCTGGTACTCATTTCTGTTAGAGGCTGAGTGAACCCCAGGGCCATAGTGCTGCCAATGACCTCATCAGTTTTTGAACCCGTGACCTTCCGACTTGTAGCATAGTGCCTTAACCACTACGCTACCGCCTGCCCCTTGTCTGATCATGATGCGCAATTAATATTGATCCATGATATTACTATGCCCCCTCATGTTAAATGTTTACGAATGATAAGAAAAATTGACAAATATTCCTTGTTAAATTTTAATTATAATCTTAGTAATGAACTTTGGAATGAAGTATTTGGTAATAATGAAGTGAACGCTGTGTTCAACGCGTTCTTAAACATTTTCGTAAGACTCTTTTGTAATAGTTTTCCCAAATGTCTCACTAGACCCCATAGTAATACTAAAGTATGTATATCATCTAGTATAAAAACTATATGTAGCATAAAAGGAGTAAGGAGAGTAATAACCCTCATATACAAAGTTACTATAAGCTGTTCTGTAAAGATCTATCTAGAAATATTATGGAAGCCAAACGTTCATATTATGATAAACTAATTATAAACTCCAATAACAGAACTAAAACCACTTGGAATATTGTTAAATCATTGACCGGGAGGAAACCCTATCATGAAGTTATACCAAACTTGAGTGCTCCTGTTAGATCATATATCAATACTAAAATGATTGCCAAATCCTTCAATAAATATTTTTTATCAATAGCGGAGACCATTACCAAAAGTACACTAAAAAATTGTGATATATTTGACATATGTAATAAAGCTAATGAATATTTAACTGATATATTTACAACCACTTTCCCTCCGATCAATTATAGTTATGTTACAACAAATGAAATTGAAAAAATTATAGACAAATTGAAAATGACCAATTCTACTGGGTATGATGAGATCCCTATCAAAGTATTAAAAAGTTGTAAACATTTTATTACCTCATCCTCAACATACATAATAAATAGATCGTTAGCTACCGGTATATTTCTTGATAGGCTAAAATTCTCCGAGATAAAACCTATATATAAAAATCTTATCAATAATTATAGGCCTATATCCTTATTGACTTCCTTTTTGAAGATATTTGAGAGAGTGGTGTTTGTAAGACTTTGTCATCATTTGACTATCAACAGTGTTTTAGCCAATGAACAGTTTGGCGTATGAAATTTTCCACTGAAAAGGCCATTAATAAATTACTTGACCTGACCTTAACTGGCCTTAATGTGGGTGGAATATTTTGTGATTTGAAAAAGGCCTCTGATTGTGTCAATCACAAGATTTTATTATCTAAGTTGGAATTCTATGGTATTACGGGTCCAATGCATAAATGGGTAGCATCTTATCTTAAAGGAAGGTTTCAGAGAATTAAATTACAAGGTAATGATAGTAACCTAAATACCTATTCAAATTGGGGCTTAATATCCCATGGTGTCTTGCAGGGATCCATTTTGGGTCCCGTTATTCTTGATCTATATTAATGATTTGCCTCTAGTATTAAATAGGATTTCCTATCCTATCCACTTTGCCGATGATCCTAGTGTGATATATCCAATCCAGATCCTCTAAATTTCCTGCACAGTGTGACTGAAGTTCTCAATAAATTAAAATTATGGTTTAATGCTAATTTATTGTTCTTAAACTTTTCCAAAACTGAATTTGTCAAGTTTAATACAAAAAATATGCATGAACATGAGATGAAGATAGTATATGATAACATGGAAATATCCAACTCAACCAGTTTAAAGTTCTTAGGGGTTAATATTGCAAATACTCGAACTTGGAAAATTCATATTGACTCACTTATCCCGAAACTATGCTATGCAATCCAAGTCATAAAACCATTTGTGAATCAGGAAACTTTGCTGATGGTTTATTATGCCTATTTTCACTCTATTATTCTATATGACATTATTTTTGGGGGTAACTCTTCGTATGCCAGCAATGTCTTTCATTTGCAAAAGAGGGCGGTGAGACTAATAACTGGTGCTGGTAATAGAAACTCATGTAAAACGATATTCACTACTCTAAAAATTCTTACTCTGTCATCTTTGTATATTTATTCACTACTATCTTTTGTGGTCGATAACATGGACCAATATTATCTTGTATCTGATATACATAATAGAGACACTAGACAGGTACTCAACCTAAATCTATATCAACCCTCAACTCGTTTATCATTATATCAAAAAGGCTCATATTATATGGGCATCAAACTGTCCAATTGTCTCCCACTAAATTTGAAGCAATTATATAAAGATATTAAGCGGTTTAAATTAAAATTAAAAGAATTCTTGAGTTGTCACCCATTTTATACTGTGGATGAATTTTTTGTATATACTAGTCGGTAAGATTAATTGTATTCTGGTTCTATTCTTATGTCTTGACTTAGTTCTTTGTGCTACTTATATATCTAATATGACTTTTCCACATCCTAAAGTGTTGGATTTTATGGAAATAATAGATGAGTAATGAAAATGAAAACAGAGCTTGTACTGACGCCTGAAACCTTTGAGAGTTTTATACCGGGGGAGTTTTGTTGTATATATGGCTGATTTGTTCTTTTTTTTATTTTGTTTTATATTATGAATGCCTTGACTTGTTCCTGTGGGAATCGAATGTTTGTTTTTGATCTGTGACTCATTCTATATCCAATGGTTATTTCCCAGCCTGTATCTGGATCTATTTTTGAATTTGAAATAAATTGAATTGACAGACTTCCACATGCTAGATCCAGTGTCCTGACGCAGTCCCATATCATTACATGAGGGGTTTTCAGGTGGTAACAGAGCATGTCATGTATAATACCTGAATAAATTATTTGGTTAACAAAGTCCACATAAATATAAAATATGCATTTGCAACGTTTCGTTTTTTCACACTTGTCCATTCTTCCAATTTCTATTTTTCCATTCCCTGCTCTATATGAAGAAGAAGAAAAATTCCTTCAGTATTGAAAAGTCACAAAATAAGTAAACAAGCAGAATTTTCTGACATCAGTCTCTCAGTTTATAAAACATATGTTTTCTTTTGAGGTCAATATACTATACACACATAATCTTACCAACATTCACTGTACTATAACAACTGGACAGTTACATTCCACAGATGTAAATTTTATGTTTATTAGTTACCGTAAGAGATGTTATTAAATTATATTCATGTCTTAGACTTAGTTCCTCCACAATCATACAAAGTATCAATAATGTTATCCCATGCATATTTATCCTGATATTTTTGTTTTTAATAAATTTACATTTGTAACACTGATTATCTATCTCGTGGGATGTAATGTTGTGTAGTCCAGTAAGTTCATTATTGTTCTGGAGGAAAATTCATGAACTTCCCCTGGACTACATGACCTTACATCCTAGAAGATGTACTCCCGCTATGTAAACCAAAAATTTGACTATAATCATCTCTCTTCCCAGGAAACTCTCTAGAGAGCACAAATGTGTCATGTCTCAATACACATCATATTATCATTTTGGTTGAGTGTAACCATTAAGTATGGAATTTATTTTAGTGTATAGTTCATCTCATTTTACATTTTTATTGTGTAGAAATTACCAAACTTTAAGCTAACAAAAACACCCAATGAATTCCAAAGACTACACAGCCCGAGGCCATCATAATCCAGAAATCCCAAAATATTATTAATATACACTTCACACATAATTCTAAACTTCCTATGTCACTACACTAACATGTACATATTCAACGCACGTTTATTAAATGAACACCAATATTTGTTCATCAAGTATGTTTCTGTTTCTTTAAATGTAAGAATCTTGAAAAAATTATATTTCCTATTACATCAAACCATAGAAAGAATATTATTTTGGGGGAAAAGAGATCAGGAGGGAGTGCGCCAGATGATTGTTCATTATCTTCAATTCATGTAAACATGTTACATATGAAAAACTGCATGATATACTGCATTTAAATACATACTGAGAACTCAAACATTCATATTTGTATTCAGTGAAGTCTTCTTAGGCAGTCAGTTGTGTCCAATGTAGATTCGGTGTTCAGTGTTTCAGAGACTGTCCCTGTCTCCAACATCAGAGGTTGATGTGGTGAGTGTCCTACTCACATGCTGTATTTATGCAGTGTTATCTGTCAACCAGCCCACTGTATGCTACAGAAAGAACAGCAGCCAAAGTTGTATGTCTCAGTGGTGTCTTGTCTCATCTCAGACTGTGCAGCATAACTGGCAGTCAGTTATAACAATCCATGTTCCTTGTCATTGGTCCTTCCTTATAACGTCCTTAGACTGCTCTCATGTGTTCTATTATGTTCATGGCTAGGTACCATGAACACCTTAGAGGAAGACCCATATATCTGTTAAAGTTAATCTGGATAAAACAAGATTTCAATGGTCCCCTTAACTAATAATTTAATTTAATTTGTTTTTCTTTCCAGTGCCATGGTGTCTGTTAAGTCCATTCAGTACTGTGCCTTGCTGCTGCTGGCTCAACTCACTGCTAGTTATGTGTTCCATGCTTCACCTTGTCTTAATGGTGTGGCTTGTCTGACATGCACTTTGCTGCATTCACACAGGATAAAGTGAAAGCCAAGGTCATCTTTCAGTAGTTCCAAAGTATGAAGATCTTTTCATGTACAGTTTTGATGTTGAACCACACCAAAAACCTGCTGATCCTATTGGTAGTTTGCATACAGAATACTGTGGCTGCCCTGTACAGCACCACCCACTGTCAAAGTGACTTCAGATTAGGGTTAAAGGCCTAGTAATGTCTACTGTTAAAGAAAACATTGGGTGCATCCCTTCTTTCGCGACAATTTAAACTCAGGTGTTCATATTGTTTCAAAAGAACTTAATCAGAATACAGAACTGTTCAAATCATTTTACAGAATGCGCATTGAAAGTTTTTCTTTATTAGTGGATCTTGTAGGACCTCAGATTCGAAGACAAGATACACATTTTTGTACAGCTGTGTCAGCAGAACCATAAGCAAAATTATAGTTTTGTATATTGCAATTTTTATGTTTCTGGACAGCAGACAAGAAGACGAAAGGTTCTGGACTGAATGATGATAAGCATTACCAGAGTTCAATTTACTCTTTAATTTCCTCCTCAGTCAGGTTTTGGTGTGTTTTCGTTGTTCCCAAATATCTGAACTGTGCCAAATTTTTAAAACATCTGTTACCTATCTTTATGTCGTGATTTTGATCTACATTTTGGTGATGAGATAGCAACATATACTTAGTTTTCACTGTGTGTACTTCTAGACCAACCTCCTTACTTGCATCAATTAAAAGTTTTTGTGTTTCTCTTTATGGTATCTGTATTATCACCCAGTAGATTCACATCATCGAGCAACAGCTATGTGTCCCATTCAATTTGTCCCGCCTTGTTTTCCTGGACCTTCTTAATGGCATATACTAAAGCAAAGTTGAAAAGGAATGGTGACAATCATTCTTGATAGGCAAATTATCAGGAAAATATTTAGGTGGGTGGACAATATTAAAATGGATTGTAGAGATATGATGGGATGGTATGGATTGAATTGGTCTGGCTAAGGATAGAGACCAGTGGAGAACTCTTGTGAACATGGAAATAAACCTTTGGGTGCCATAAAATGCTGGGAAGCTCTTGAATAGCTGCAAGATTGGCGGCTTCTCAAGAAGGGCTCCTCAGCTCCATGAGTGATTGAATGTGTCAGTTGAAGAAAAACTACTGATTACTATGATGTTAGGAAAGTTCATCTTTTTATTGATATACATATTCAACAGACCTCTTAGCAAATACAATACCACTGCTAGATGTTCTTTCTTTACATTGTTTATTATAATGAAAATTATGATGGAAAGCAGAGATTGTCGAGGGCACAGCGCCTGTGAAATCAGCTGGCTGATTACTCCTTAACACCAGCAGGAGCAATTCTGTCTCAGTGGAGTTATATTAATTGAATTCAGCTGATGATTGTAAAGGATGAGGACTAACCCACCTGTTGACTTTTATCACAAAGCATGGGTCATACTGTAGTAATCGTTTGCACTGTTTTAGCAGACGTACTCTGTATTTTGATCTTATAAGTTTTGGTTATATACACATGTTTACACATACCAGATTCCTTCATCTCATGAAAATTTTTTCCCAAGCCAAATCTACTTCCCCGCTTGGCAGTCTGGATGGCATTTGTTATATATGCCCGGCTCTTGCTCAATTAACTGCATAAGAATAAATTAGCAGTTTTGGCAACTCTTCATGCCATCTTAACAAACAAATGAATCACTGAAGTGCATTACAGAACAGCTGATTTCTAGGAATCCATGCAGCAACTCAATCGTGTGAAGACTGGCATGCTCCAGTGCCTGGAAATTGAGTTTTTACGCGAGTTGTGTTGCGGTTTCCTCAATTTGCGCTGCTCCAGTCACTAACATGTGTTCAACCCTGGCTGATAACACTTCTCAGAAATCATGGTTGTGTTGAGGTTGCCAGTTTTCTTGGTGTGCGCCCAGCCTAATACTCATATTACACTTCCACCATCCTTGGTATCGCATGCAGAATCCATAGTCACTATTTTCTTCACCAGCAAATTGAAACACAGATTGTTGTCACTGCTTACATAATGCCTTAACATGGCAAAATCTAATACAACACAGCAAGCAGATTCATAAATATCAGAAACTTTTTCTGTATCAGGATGAGTTCTGTTTTTCATGTTAATACTCATTTCTTGATCAGCATTAGCACGCAACTCAAATTCGTATGTAAAGTTGCTGGCCTGCTCTTTGGGACCAATATACTGCACTGCTAAAAACATTTTTTTTTCTGTTACATCACATTTGAAATTATACCAGAATACTTCACGACATGCTGCTATAAGCTGGATATCTTCTGTTCCATCAAAAACATTTAACTCATAGAGAATACAATTTTCATCAACCATCCAACAACTTTCCACATGGGTGTTCTTCATATGCATGAGAATATCAGTGCTTCTGCCCTTCCACCTGCAGCTTGTTGCCTTGCCAGGCAGGCATTCATACATACGATGAGGGCAGTCATTATAGTGTTCTACCATATCCTGCAAAGAATGCTTTACATTACATCCAAACTCAACATTCTTGCATGGATACAGCAGCCGTTCTGCTATCTGCTCAACAAAAACACTTCGTGAATCAAGAAATATCTCGCAACAAGATGGGCATCTTGTCACTTGTAGCTTACAATTTGAGCAGATATTGTGAGCATGTTTACACTGATAAATTGGTGGAGCCAAATACTCGTAGCACACTGGACATTCAAACAGACTGACGATACTATCATTCACACTTTCCAGGCTTATCTCTGACATCATCTCCAATGCAGCAACTGCATTCATACCTACAGAACAAAAATGCCAGATACAATTGTGATGATCAAGTCTGGGAGGGTGAGGATACAGGGCATGTTGCATGCATGGGAGAGGACTGAATACAGGATTTTGGTGAGAAAGCCAAAAGAAAAAATCACTAGGATCACACAGGATGGAGGATAATATTAAAATGGATCTCACAGAAATAGGATGTGATGGTACAGACAGGATTTATCTGACTCAGGACAGGTACCACTGATGGGCTTTTGTGAACATGATAAACCTTCTGGTTTATTTATTTATTTCTGTTAGGAAATTTTTGAATGAGTAAGTGACTAGCAGCTTTCACAAAAGAATTCAGCTCCATGGAGTCTGTCTTCTGGTGTTTACTTTAAATGAACTGCCAGAAATATCAGAAGTCTTAATTAATCTCACAATACTTCCTGTCAGATCAACTGAAGTCCAAATTTTGTTACATGATAATTAGGCTTGAGATGCTGAATAACTTCAAACACCATGGGTGGAAAACACCAAAAGCACAGAGTCCACTGCAGCTGCCAGATAATTGCAGACCAGTATAATTTATTCTGATATTTAAATATTTGTTGCCGTGTTTTGGTGTTTACATATGGCATGGGGTTTCTATTTTTGCAAAAGGCTCATCAGACAATTTCCACATTTATGTAAATTTTACATGTTCTGTATGGGTGTGAAACTTGGTCTCTGACATTAAGGGAGAAACATAGACTGAGGGTATTCGAGAACAGGGTGTTGAGGAGAATATTTGGACCAAAGAGAGATGTTGTAGAAAACTGCATAATGAGGAGCTTCATAACTTGTACTCTTCTCCATGTATAATTAGAATGATCAAGTCAAGGAGGATGAGGTGGGCAGGTCATGTAGCACGAATGGGGGAGATGAATGCCTATAGGATATTGGTGGGAAAGCCAGAAGGAAAGAGACCACTAGGAAGACCAAGGCATAGGTGGGTGAACAATATTAGACTGGATCTTAGAGAGATAGGATGGGATGGTATGGATTGGATAATCTGGCTCAGGATAGAGACCAGTGGAGGGCTCTTGTGAACACGGTGATGAACCTTCTGGTTCCATAAAATTGGTGGCTCCTCCAGAAGGGCTCAGCTCCATGAGTAAGAAAGTATGTAAATTTTACATACCAACCGATCAAAATGACACACATATCGTGTACTTAGAAGAAATGGTTAGCTGGTCATGTAAACTGTTCACTCAAAATGATTACATATTCATTCATGGAACACAACACCTACAGCTGAATGTTTAAACAAAGGCTAAGGCCAACAAGGTGAGCTCGTACATACCATTTAGCCAGCCACAATTTTTTTTCTAGGTTATTTCACAACGTACTTACGGTACTTACCATGTGCGTACCTGCATTAACGCACCACGTGCTACAGAGCATATAGGGGAAATAGGGATATTGCGTGGTGGTATACGGTGGTTTACGCTGTTTGCTGAAGTGTATCCCGAACGGCCCCGAAGTCCCGAAGGTCCCGAACATCAATTAGTACGTACGTCATTCTGACCCCTGCAGACTAGCAGGTTCGGGCAGGTTTAATTCTGAACACTGCCACCAGTACAGGAGGATCGGGGCGAAAAGTAAAAGGAGTTTTGTACGAGGTGATGTATTATATTCACGTCTACAAATGAATCAAGTAAGGAGAGAACACAGAAATAATATATAATACCGGTATTGCTTTAGAATAAAGAGATTTTAGTACTATATTTTATTTTTTCCAGGATTATGTAGTTTAAAAAAATTGACAAAGTATATTTCATTTCATTTCATTTATTTCGTGTCCATGGATCATTATACATGATATAAGACATGGGATACTTATTGTTTGCTTGTATTGCTATAATACATTTTATTTGATTTTGAGGTTATTTTGGTCTACGTAATTCTGGAAGTTTAGCGCTATGTGAGACAGTTTCATGTCTAAATCAATTAAAAGATATATAAGTAATAACGTGAATTGTAATGTACATTATGGATGACAAGGGAATGAATTGCAGTTACTGTGAATCACTGAAATGAATGGTGTTTTACTAATATATAACATAATTTTTAAAGCGAAAACTTGCAAGCATATAGAGTGCCAACATTAACGATGTTTGGCTTTCCTTTGGAGAGCAGGTAGTAGATGGTATCTGGGGCTGAACATTTTGAATTTTATGATTGGGGTATGTGTGCCCCACTATATATAGATTGTGGTTGGCATCTCATCCTTTACTGCTCTTTTGTGGTTTGATTGGGTTATGTTAATATAAGTTTGCATTGCATCAGTGTATCTGTATTTTGCAGTGTATTTCATGGGTTTAATACATGTAGGCTATGGTCAGGCTGTACTTTCTCACCTCATAATGTTGATTTATAAATGGGACCTTTACTGTGTCACCAAAAGAATTAGTATACAGGTATGAAATTGTTTCCAACAACCCAGTGGGGTGGAGATCATGTAATACATGCTGTTCATCATAATAATAAAAAAAAAAAAGCAAAGTTGTCCCTGAGCTTAACTAATTAAGGACTATGCCATGAAGACATACGGGGGAGTGGATGAATAGATCCACAATTTTTTTACCTCGGCACTAGTTGGAGGTGAGTTCAACTTCACTCCCTTTCTGCTTTACCCCCGGGAAAGAGCCCCTCCAGTAACCATTGTATAGGAGGTTGGGTGGACCACAGAGCTGGTCTGGACAATATAAAGAAATGAAAATTCTTGACCCTACCAGGACTCAAACTCCAACCTCTTGGTCGCCCAACCCGTAGCCAGTTGCTATACCAACTGTGCTATCCAGGCCCCTGCTGTTCATCATATATTGAATGAATACATGACACATGGTAGATTCAGAAAGTTTCAGAACAGTAGTGACCTTGTGGTAGGTGGGTGGAGTCTGCCCATGCATGGCTCTTGCACATAGGAGAATTGTTCAGTTTACATTAGAATATTACATGTGAAAGATTCTGCAGGAGAATACAGTGTTTGTAAAGTCTCAAAGTGGTCAAGTGTACCACCTTAAGCAGAGGATAACTTAAAATGTTGTCACTGAATGTGACACCATTGTGACTGTCAGAAACATTGCATAGGATTTTATGATGAACAAATAGTGGCCTGTTCCAAGGTATTTGCAGTATTTGAGTTACCACTCAAGCACCTTGAGCTGAAGGATCATGAATGGCTGGAAAACAAGCTGCACAGTGGATGGCCAACAGTATTACCATATATAAAAAAGTAAAAACAAAATCCCTGTAACAGGCCGTGAAGGTCCATAGGGTTGAGACATTGAGGGTCCCACATTATCTAGACCAGCGTTGGCCAACCTAATACATCTCGAGGGCCAAATTTAGTTTATAGAACATCATCAGGGGCCAGATACGGTGTTTCTTTCAGAAGAGTGGTCGGGGAGTATTGCCCCCCAAACTGAATCAGTCACAACCCGTATAAAAACAGTGCATTTAAACCTATGTATTTAAATTTTACGTTGCACCAATAATATTAAGCCGATATTGAAAATTTCACCAATCGATTTTATTGCCTTCTATCACTTCTACCCCCAGAGCATTTTTTCTTAAAGAAACACTGGCCAGATCATGTCTTATGTTTAGTTTTATATATGCCGGGGGAAAATGCAATTATAATTTAAGAAAGAAAAATAAAATGCCTTGAAATGTGCAATTACTTACCATAAAACAGCACAAATTCCTCTTTCAGCAGGGATGAGCACAAAAGACTTTCAATCATAGTTTTTATGGTCTAATGATTATACCTAAA